GCCCGGCAAGCTACCGAGTGTCTCGCCCGCACGGCAGAGCCTGGCAAGCTACCTGTGACGTATTCAATATGCCAAACACAGTAACAATTGTCACAATGGAGACGTTAGTGGGCCCGCCTGAGCAAATCGATGAACAACGGGAGGGCCGTGACCATGACTGTATCATGAACTATTGTGAACTACGTTATGAAAATAAAATATATAAAAATTGAAAAAAAAGGGGGGGCATTCACTCCTTCACCCTCACCAAAAATGCAGCCTGGCCTGTACAGGTCTGAGGCTGCAGGTCACTCCCTTGCACCTCCGTGAAAGGCCAGAGCAAAGCAAACCCGAAGGAGAACTGGGCTGGAGACAGTACAGAGTGGAAGGCTTCCCATGCGTGGTCTTCCATATGACCGACCCAGACCCAACTCCCGATGCTGCAAATGCCCGCCCCTCCCTGGTCGTGAACCATCAGGAGTCATCCCAGAGCACAGCCAGGGTGTGACACAAATACACCACACAAGAGCACTACAGGGGTAATCCACAGCACTGCACAATCCCCCTGAGCACTGAGCTTGGAGTAACCTCTGAGCACTGTCAGAAGAGACCCTGGAAATAAAGGAATATTACCGGGGCTGGGGAGATGGCTCAAAGGGTTGGAACATGTGTTTTGCATGTCGAGGCCCTAGGCTTAATCTCCATCACTACATGATCCCCCAAACACCAAGCGAAGAGTAAACCCCTCCCCAGCACCTATGGGTGTTCCCTTACCACTCAGAAATCCCTTACAAAGAAATGGAAAATATGTTTCAAATGCTTTATTTTTGGGTGGGTGGGGGGGCATCTGTGGCAATACCTAGGGATTATTCCTTGCTCTGCACTCAGGAATTACTACTGGCTGGCTCAGGGAACCCTATGAGGTGCCAGAGAATTGATCCTGGATCGGCCGCGTGCAAGACCAAACCACCCACTCGCTGTACTATTGCTCCAGCCCCTCAGTTTTAGTATTTCAGACTTTTCTTCCTCCCCTTTCCTGCATAATTACATCAGGGGGTTGCACATGTTTGCTTACATTAAAAAAAATGGAATTTATATTTGGTTTTAGGGCCACAGCCAGGGGTGCTCAGGGGACCTGTGGCATTAGGGACCAAAGTTAAGCCTCCTCTGGGCAGCCTACCCTCTCCCTCCTGAGTTCTCCAGCCAGTGCTCACACGTGACAGTCCGAGCTCTGGGGGCTGCACGAGGGGCCACGGTGCTCCCTGAGGCTGTTTGCTGGGGTCACACCATGGCTGAAGCACACGATGTCTGTGCTGTGACTCCAGGCTAGGGCACGTCGATCCTCTAAAGTGCCCACACACGCACCTGGCAGCAATGCGACTAGAAACGGCTCCCAGCACCAGGGCCCTGCCCAGGGCACCAGAGACTGGGACTTGTGACCGCAGGCTTGAGTCTCTGTGCTGTTTTTTTTTGGGCCTAAAGTTGAAATTAAAAAAAAAATTTTTTTTCTTTGTTTAAGAGCCAGATCTGGCGGTACTCAGGTCTTACTCCTGGCCCTGCACGTAAGAATTACTCCTGGTGGTGCTAGAGGGTCCATATGGGATTCTGGGAATCGAACCTGGGTTGGGCATGTGTGAGGCAAACACCTACCCGCTGACCGTGTTGGCCTCTCCACCCACCTGTGGGCTTCCTGCTCTTGTGCCGTGGCCCTCCAGGGTGCTGCGGATCAAACCTCCTTAAGACTTTTTTAACTGATGAAACACTGGTTTCCATGAACATAAATCTTATCAGTATTATCCTCTGCACCACCTACCTGCTATTACCCTTCTGCCGCTGTCCACAATCCTGTCAGTCCACTTCCTTAGGTTTTTAAATGACCTCTGGGCTTAGCTGTTTGGTGTGGGTCCCAGGGCCACCCCCCCCAAATCTGCTCCTAAATTCAGGAGGACAAGGAACAAGGCATGAGTAAAAATGACACCCGAGCAAGTAAGCAGAGGATTGAGGCGCTCGGATGACCAGCAGCTCACTCCCCCTGCAGGTGCTGAGTGACAGACCACAGTCCCCTCACCCCTGACACACACACACACACACACACACACACACACACACACACACACACACACAGATTCAGGGGCCCGGGGGGCCATGGTCTGCTGGGGGCACCCTGAGCCCAGATGGACACGGACACAGGATACCATGAACGGCATTTTCAATCACTCCTGGTCGTTTGATGTGACAGTGAGTTTATTTCTGGAAATTCTTTGCAGGAAACACCACCAAACACTCCCATCAGGGAACATAGGCCACAGGCTCCAGGGGAGAGAAACGAATCATCGTGGTTTTTCCGGTGGTGCCAGGGATTGAAGAGGGTCTCTCACATGTGAGGCAAGTACTCTACCACCGAGTCACTTCCCTGGCACTGAATCAAATAATTTTATTATTTTTAATCTCTGATTTGTTTTGGGCCCACACTCAGTGATGTTACTGAGGTGTTATTCCTGGCTCTGCATCAGGAATCATTCGTTCCTGGTGGTGCTTGGGGGGGCGGGAGGGGAAGGATACTGGGGATTGAACCCAGGTCAGTTGTGGGCAAGACAAGTGTCCTACCTGCTGTACCACTGCTCCAGTCCCTGAACGAAATAACTTTTAAGTCTGTATATTGGGTGGGAGAGACAGTATAGCGGGTCGGGCGCTTGCTTTGCAGGCGGCCAAAACTGAGGTTTTATTCCTGTCATTCCTTAGGCCCCCTGACCACCGCCAGGAGGAATTCCTGAGTGAAGAGCCAGGAGTAACTCCTGAGCATTGCCAGGTGTGGTTCAAAGACAAAGACAAAACCAAAACCAACCAAACAAATCAAGTAGGCATATCTAGGTACCGTCTACAACTCTCCTCTTCAAAGTCAGAGACCAGTTAAACAAATCTTTACACGTCAGCGGGGCACCAGCGCCACCTTGTGTTCACCTGCCTTCATTACAACCACGCTAGCACGGAAGAGCAGGCTCTGGGATTCGAGAGTTACAGAATATAGCTTTATTTATAGAATCTTACAAATAAAACATTTACAGTCCACATAAGTTATTTTATTTGCTAATTTGTTCTCATAACACCTGAGTTATTTTTTTTAAATACTGTGATGGAAATGTAGAACTGCAAAAGGAAATATGAATAAAAACTACCCTCTCTCTTTGCAAAAAGGAGACAACTTGTTTTACAGCAGGTTCCTGTGGACTCCCCTCTCTGTGGAGGAACTTCCTGAAAACTGGCCACAGGGTCCCTGGACAAAGAAGTCCTCATTTTCAAACCTAGAAGGAAGGACTCTCGCGGGAAGCTCTCAGGTCGACAGAAGACACCTGACCTCTGACCCGTGCCTGCTGAGGATGATGGGGACAGGCAAGACCCTAACTCGGGCTCATGGTCTGTGGGCACATAAAAATGCTTAAAACAGCAAAGCTGACATTCGAAAGCCTGTGAGAACCTGCCACGTTCCCCAGCCACGAGGCAGATCCACCACCAGCAGCCGTAGATCAAGCAGTGGCAGGGTCTTCATGTCCGTGTCCCTCCCGGGTGCCCACCAGGACTGGCCCTCTGGGCCAACTTCAGGTAAGACTTTTCCCTTTGAGGCAGTTATCTATGACAACTTCTCTTTTGTGGTGTCCGGGATCAAACCCAAGGGCCTGGCACCTGGGAGGGGGCATGTGTTCTACCACGAGCCACATTTCCAGTCTTGAGGAAAAGGCTTAACAGACATGTTCATGACAAGAGAAACGGCCCCGCTTCTTCAGATTTCATTTTTTTCCCCCTACAAGTTAAAAGATTCTATTTTGGAGCTCTTCTAAACTAGAAACCCACTAATATTCTAACTTAATATTCTACTCCAAGAATAATGGTGTTAGTAAGGAATGACAGCTCTACTGGGAATGACTAAAATTATAATACATCAATGTGAACAGAGGAAAGCAGAATCTTCTAGTCTTTATTTTGTTTTTTGGGTCACACCCGGCGGTGCTCAGGGCTTACTCCTGGCTCTGTGCTCAGGAATCCTTCCTGGCGGGCTCGGGGGACTCTATGGGGTGCTGGGTATCAAACTCAAGTTGGCCGCGTGCAAGGCAAGCACCCTCCCCACTGTACTATCACTCTGGCCCCAGATATTCCAAAGCTTAAAAGTTTGAGTGTTATTTTCTGTTAGCTCCTGAAAGCAAACTGAGGAAAATAAAATGGGGGGTGAGGTGGGCGGGGGTAGGGGTAAATCATTCTCAACCAGTAACATATTACTAATAATGAATGAGTTATATATATATATATATTAAAAAAAAATGATTCCGACATTCAAGGAATTGGTTCTTTGGTAAAACCGGACCATGATCCCATCAGGAGCCAATCCTGATTTTCATCTCGAATCCTGATAAGCTGGAGTTTTCCTTCGGCTTCAGCCCATTCTCACGTCCATCGGAGTCAATGCACGAGAGAGGCAGGAGAACATAAGAGGGCGTGTGGCCAGGTGGCGCTCAGATTCATTTCAAGAACATTCCTGTCTGAGGGGCGCGCCCCAGGAAGCAAAGAATCAAAGTAGATGCTGTTTTGTAGTTTCTGCAGAGAAAGAAACTTTTCCTGGGCCAGAACAGAAAACTGGCAGGTGTGGGCCATGGGCCAGCTCTGCTGGGCCCCCTCACAGATCCAGCCCCAGGCACGGCCTCTGGGCTCACTGCGAGGAGGAGGAGGAGGAGGAGGAGGAGGAGGAGGAGGAGGAGGAGGAGGAGGAGGAGGAGGAGGAGGAGGAGGAGGAGGAGGAGGAGGAAGGCTTCCGGAGAGAGAGCCCCCCAGAGTGGCTCAGGAATCTCACATTATCAATATGATAATAATAATTCAATTCACCTAGTGAACCTGGAGATGAGCTCCCCTTGAAGCCAGGACTGTGTGGGGCCGTCCCCGACCTGCGTGACTCCCACCCACCTGTCCCTGGTCCCCCCACTTTCCAAAGCGTCAGAGCAACGGGGATTCCGCCCAGGACAGGGCTTGCCCCGTCCCGGTCTGGGATGTGGGAGGGAGGGCTGAGCCCTGTGGTGTCCTCAGCAGCCTCTGGACCGCAGGGACCCGCCACCTCGGACTTGTGGTCGGGAAGTGAATAAATCCTAGGCTCCGCCCCCCCAAGCCCACAAGCACCTGTCCAGGCAGGGCCTGGGCTGGGGAGAGTGGGGGGTGGGGGTGGAACCTGGACCCTCTTGATGTGCTCGCTGGGCTTGGGGAGGTGGCTGGGGGGACCGTGGTAAACCCGAGAGTCTGGCAGGAACAGGAACTGAGGGTGGGACCCAGCCCCACCTCAGGCGTTGCAGGCCAGGGGCAGCCTGAGACAGGGGGTGAGGTACCCCTGCCCCCGCAGACTGGACACCCCTGGGCCCCACTGTCCCTTGGCACAGGGGGGGCCCCTGCCCCTCCACCTCCTCCCTGCCCTGGTCAGCTTCTCCGGCACTCCCATCTCAGGGTGACCGGGTGCCTGACGGACCGTGCGACCCAATCGGAGGGGCCCAATTCAGTGTCCAGAATGCAAATTCATGGGTCTGGACACTGATCCCCCTGCGATTTCTAACCCAATTGGGACTGGCCACTATACTTTGGCATTGTCGGGGGAGGACCTGGCATCTCTCGGTGTGGGTTCGGGGAGGACGGTGCGGGGAACCAGAGATGAGTGGTCTGCTGTGTGCTGGGGCCCGTGTCCGGCCTTGAGTCACTCTGAGGAGGGGGCCCCGGCAGCTTCGTCTGCGGCACTGTCTCTGCTGGAGCTGCCCGCTCTGAGGGGCCTGCAGCCGAGGGCCTGCCCCGTCCCGCCGGCCCTAGCCAATCTGGATCTGTCCTGAGTACATGGTGAGCACCAGCATGATGGTGAAGCCCGTGAGGAGCCCCAGGTTCTGGATGGCAAAGGGGACCAGGACGCTGCCCTTCCGCTCGTCTTCCTGGGAGACCTCGTTCATCTCAGGGAACTGAGAAAGGAGACAAGAAATGCGGTCCAGAAGGGCTCGTACTCCCGCCACTGACCGTCAGGCATGTGCCCACCGGGGCCCAAGGACCACACCGTGACATGCACCTGCGATTTCTAATCAAGTCGCAGCTGAGCGCGACATTGGTGCATCGTCGGGAAGGGGTCTGGTAGCTCTCGGTGCTGGTTCGGGGTGGGGGGGAGGGTTTGAGAAACCAGAGGTGATGGTCTGACATGACTCTAAACTATCACCCGGGCCCCCTCACATCTTTCTAAGCAAAGCTCGCTCATTAAAAACAATCCAGGGGCTGGAGCAATAGCACTGCGGGTAGGGCGTTTGCCTTGCACGCAGCCAACCCCGGTTCGATTCCCAGCATCCCATATGGTCCCCTGAGCACCGCCAGGGGTGATTCCTGAGTGAGAAGCCAGGAGTAACCCCTGTGCACCGCTGGGTGTGACCCAAAAAGCAAAAAAAATAAATAAAAATAAATTTAAAAAATCCAAAGGGGGGAGAGAGAGAGAGAGAAGCGAAGTTCCTGCCATAGAGGCAGTGGAGGGGTCGGGGCAGGGAGAGGGGAACTGGGGACCCTGATGGTGGGAAATGTACACGCTGGAGGGATGAGTGTTGGGATTGACTGAAACCTGACCACTTACAGCTTTATAACGGTGTATCTCATGGTGACTCGATTGAAAAAGAAAAGAAAGAAAAATCTTGTTTCACTTTTTTAAAAGAGGGAAATACTTTATGCACACGTGGCCAATAGATATCATGATAGAAAACAAGGAAGGAAACTAACCTTGCTATGCAGGTCGATCAGTGAGGTATTTTGGCAGCACACTTTAAGCTAGTGGGTTATACTAAATGGTATTCTTTTTTTTTCCTTTTTTGAGGGGGAGTAGAGGGTTTTTGGCCATACCCGGCAATACTCAAGAGTTACTTCTGGCTCTGCACTCAGGAAAATTACTCTTGGTGGTACTTGGAAAATCACATGGGATGGCAGGGACTGAACTCAGGTTGGCTGTGTGCAAGGCAAGCGCCCTAACTGCTGTATTCTCTCTAGTCCCTAAATAGCACATTTTGAAGTTAATGGTAATACCAAGTGTTGGTAAAGTGCAATGGTATATGTTTTACACACTGATTTTTTTTTTTTTTTTTGCTTTTTGGGTCACACCCAACCAATGCTCAGGGGTTACTCCTGGCTCTGCACTCAGGAATCACTCCTGGCGGTGCTTGGGGGACCATATGGGATGCTGGGAATCGAACCCGGGTCGGCTGCGTGCAAGGCAAACGCCCTACCCGCTGTGCTATTGCTCTAGCCCCAGACACACTGATAAATTTAAAAATTATGTTAAGCCCTTTTAGAAAGAAACTTTGCAGGGCATGTTAAATGCCTTAAAACATGTATTTCAACAATTCTAGTTCTGGATAAGATATATGTTTTTACCAAAAAAGGGCTGGAGCGATAGCACAGCGGGTAGGGCGTTCGCCTTACACGCGGCCAACATGGCTGACCCGAGTTCGATTCCTCTGCCCCTCTCGGAGAGCCCGGCAAGCTACCGAGAGTATTCGATATGCCAGACACAGTAACAACAAAGTCTCCAATGGAGACGTTACTGGGCCCGCTCGAGCAAATCGACGATCAACGGGAGGGCCTTTACCTTTACCTTTACCTTAACCCTTGAAAAGGATACTTTTTAAAGAGCATATAGCATGAAATATATTTACTATACATTAAATCGGGACATGAGTAGTTAAAAGCAGACACAGTGTGTTGAGACAGAGTGACAATTGTGTTTCCAGGGACAATGATTAAAGGGAATGTTCTTTTCATCTTTCCCTCCCTTCTTCCTTCTTTATTATGTATCTGCAAATGCCAAATCTTCTCAATCCATAATTGAGAAGCCTAGGTTGAATTTTATATTTTTTTCCTTAAAGATGTAAATTAATAATGGGGCTGGAGCAGTAGAACGGCGGGTAGGGTATTTGCTTTGCAAGTGGCCAACCTGGGTTCGATTCCCAGCATCCCATATGGGTCCCCTTGAGCACCGCAGGAGTAATTTTCTTTTTTCTTTTTGGGTCACACCCGGCGATGCACAGGGGTTACTCCTGGTTCTGCACTCAGGAATCACCCCTGGCGGTGCTCAGGGGACCATATGGGATGCTGGGAATCGAACCTGGGTTGGTTGCATGCAAGGCAAACGCCCTATCCACTGTGCTATTGCTCCAGCCCCCAAGAGTAATTCTTGAGTGCAGAACCAGGAATAACCCTTTACATCGCTGGGTGTGACTCAAAAAACAATTAAAAAAAAAAAGATGTAAATGAATAAGAACAGACCTTCTTCTCACGCTGCTGTCCCCTTCAAAGGCACTGATTTGTGAAATCGTGTATTACTGGAGGGATTCAGTCAAGAGAGCTTTCACTGGAACCAAGCTCACTCATGTCCCCTTCACTGTTCTCCTACCCAAAATCCAACACTCCAGGGCACTGAGCGTGGGAGACTCACCATGTCGGCCAGAGCGATGTACAGGAACATCCCTCCAGCCAGTGCGAAGATCCAGTTGGCAGAGAAGTGGCTGCCCGCCAGGATGCCGAAGGCCAGGCCCACATAGCAGCAGCAGGCCGAGAGGAAGTTGAAGAAGAGCGCTTGCTGGATGCTCATGCCCGCGTTGAGCAGGATGACGAAGTCCCCTGGGCGGGAAGAGACGGAGGCGGCGCCTGAGCACCGGGCGAGCACGGGCTGCTCCCGGGAGGGACCCAGTCAGCCTGGGCTCCTGAGGGGAGTGGCCGGAGCCCTGGACGTGGGCCACCCTCACCGCCCGGCCCCAGGATTGTCCTCCCTTGCCAGACTTGTACTTCCACCCAAGTGGCTGGAAACAATTCAGGGGAATTGAAAATTAGAGAACTGACAGGAATAGCTTCAGTTTTTTACTTTTTTTGCGGGGTGCCGGGTGGTGGTAACACCCCATGACGCTGAGTCAACTTGAGGGTCAACACAGTGCTAAGGCCTGAACCTGGGCGTCTTGCATGTAAGCACATGCCCAGCCTGTGGAGCCGTCTGTCGGACTGAGGGTGAGTTGGAAGGTTGCTCCCTGGCTCACCACTCTCTTTTGGGAAGCAAAACTGAGACTGGAAGAAGGGACATGGGTCTCCTAGTGCTCAGCACAGACTGTTGGAGAGAGGGGGCCACCGCCTGCCACTGCCCCAGACCCGCGGAGCCCACCTGGGCCCTTTGTCGGGTCTGAGCTGTGAATGGCGGGATGTGGAATCAGGAAACTAACTTGTTTCCATTTCTTTTCTGCAGGAGGCAGGGTGTCGTAATAGTGGCTCCTCACAGAATAAAAATATATCAGAAAGACAGAAAGGGGTGGGGGAGTAAGCAGGGGGGAGAGGGGGTGAAGGAAATGGGGAAAAAGAGGAGAGGGCGAGAGAGAAAGTGAGAGAGAGAAAGTGTGAGAGAGAGAAAGAGAGAGACAGAGAGAGAGAGAGAAGTAATTTCCTTTAAGTACCAAGTAATGGCAAAATCAGGATTTGACACTGAGTCTCTGAGTGAGGCAGACTCTTTTTGTTTGTTTGATATTGGGGGGGGGCACACCAATACCAGACGATGCTCAGGGATAACTCCTCATTCTGCACTCAGGGATCACTCCCAGCAGATTCAGGAGACCATTTGGGATGCTGGGGCTGGAACCCGGGTCAGTCGTGTGCAAGGCAAGCGCCCTCCCTGCTGTACTGTCACTCCAGGCTGGAGACAGGATAGAACTTTGTGCTGAAGCGAAGGACCCTCTAATCCTCAGGCACTTCTTCCACCCACCAGGCCCGTCACACACTTCTCGGCCTCAGTAAGATGACAGGGCTTTTAGACATGACCAGCCTGGAACGCAGACTAGGGCGCAGCCGCAGTAAGGCCTTGCCCTCTTGCCCTCTTTATTTCTCACAGTAGAGCTGAGAGCTGGGCACTGATCTGAACCCCACGGTACAAGTCAGGAAGCAGAGCCTGGGGATACCAAAGGGAAAAAACAAATCTCTGCAATAAATCCATCTTGGAGCCGCAGTGATAGTACAGTGAGCAGGGCACTTGCCTTGCACGTGACGGACCTGGGTCCAATCCCCCGACATCCCATACGGTTCCCCGAATGCGCCAGGACTGATCCATGAGCGCAGAGCCGGGAGGAGCCCTGAGCACCACCGGGTCTGGCCCAAACCCCAAGGCACCCCCCCCACTCCCCAAACTATCTTTTTCCAACCTCGCTTGCTGAGAGTGAACTCAGCTGTCAGGGTCAGTGCTGAGTGTGTTGATGGACTCTCAGCGGGGGAACTTCCAGAAGGGCACCCTGGGACCAGCTGCGTGCTCACCCAGCTCGTGCGGGAACTCCTCACAGAGGATGGCCACCGAGGTACTGATGCCTTGGAAGACGGACACGGTGAAGGAGGCGCCGATGGCCAGGCCGTCGATGAAGTTGTGGAGGCCGTCGCTCAGGGTGATCATCCAGGCCAGGGTGCCGATGTCGGAGTAGCGGACGCCCTTCAGCCAGTAGCAGGCGCTCTGGGAAGCCTGCAGGTCCTGGGGGAGAGGCCGTGCCCGGGGACCCCCTCGGTCAAAGGGGTCAGCACCAGTGACCTTCCTGGGAGGCCTGAGGAGAGAGGCCGCTCCCCCTCGAAGGTGCCCCCCAGCGAGGAGGACCGCTGGCTGACCTGCACAGAGAGTGAGCCCACGATGACTTTCTCGTCGCCTCCGGGGGCCCTGCCGTCTGGCTCGCTGCCACAGTGCTGCGGGATCATGTGGTCCAGATCTCCGTTCTGCAGCTTCTCCGTCACACCCTCCTCCTGGTCCTTCTTGGATGGCAGTGTCTCAGAGGTGTAATGGCTGTGCCCGTGAGGATGCTGGGGGGGGGGGGGCGGGGGGGGCGGCAGGAGGCGGGTTGGCCACAGCACTTGCCCAGACCACCCAGAGTGAGCATGCGATGGCCCTGTTCCACCGTCCCAGCAAGCACAAGCACAGAATCCCGAGGAGAGTTCTACAGTGCTGGGCCAGGCCAAGGGAGGCTATGGTGTGTGAGCACAGATAGGGCAAGACCAAAACCCATTCCTGGGAGATAGAACCACTCCCGGGGCTCACATCTGCTCCCACGCAACTACTTAGGGCGTGGGCACGCACCAGCCACCAAAACCAAAGCAAACCTGAGCATCCTTTGGGAACTATAATGAAAGATTCTGGTTTCCTTCCTTCCTTCCTTCCTTCCTTCCTTCCTTCCTTCCTTCCTTCCTTCCTCTCTTTCTTTTTTAATGAATCACTATGAGGTACAGTTACAGACTAACTTTTGTGCTTATGCTTCAGTCATACAATGATCAAGTACCCATCCCTCCACCAGAGCCCATTCTCCACCACCAACGTTCCCAGTATCCCTCCCACCACCCCCACCCCATCTCCCTCCCCACCCTAACTCTGTGGCAGGCACATTCCCTTTTACTCTCTCTCTCTCTGTCTCTCTCTCTCTCTCTGTCTCTCTCTCTCTCTGTCTCTCTCTCTCTCTCTCTGTCTCTCTCTGTCTCTCTCTCTCTCTCTCTCTCTCTCTCTCTCTCGGTGTTGTGGTTTGCAATGCAATGTTCTGGTATTAAGAGGCCATCATGTTCGGTCTATAGTCTACTTTTAGTACACATCTCCCATCCTGAGCGGGCCCTCCAAGCATCCTCTACTTGGTGTTCCCTTCTCTATCTGAGCTGCCTTTTCCCTTGGCATGTGAGGCCAGCTTCCAAGCTGTGGAGTGATCCTCCTGGTCCTTATCTCTACTATCTAAAACGTTCTGTTCACAACCACACTTTACCCACGATGAATGTATATGCGAAGTCCCTGCCCTCTCCTCCAAGGGGCAATAATAGCGTGAGGAAATAATAATGGCATGAGGAAATATTCTTGGACACAGCAACGAGGATCACTGCTGCCCACAGAAAGGCACACAGCTGTTCCCCTGGCCTGCCGGCCAGAGTGTGGGGAGAGACTAGCGCCCCTGTTCCCTCGGAAGCACCACCTCCAACCTCTGCCAACAGGGGGGGCTCACCTCATTTTTCTGCTTCAGAAGCATCTTCAAGATCTTCTCTGTGAAAAAGAAAAGGTAAAAGCCCCCAAATACCACTGCAGACTTGGAGACGTAATAGTCTTCCAGGGGGTTGAAGCCGAACGCCTGCAGACACAGGAGAACAAAGGAAGTTTAAAGAAGTAACACACCTGCATTGGAGTCCTCCCGGCTCCTAAGCGCCTCCTAGCTTCTAGGGAGTGGGAGGGGTGCCTGCCTGCGAGACCACCCCCAAAGCCCCGCCCCGAGGGTTGATGCCCCCATCACTGGGCATATGACGCCAGGGACCCCTTTAGAGCCGTTCTCCAGAACAGCCGCCCCTTCACGGCCCTGCGCTTGGAACGAGAACTCAATCTCGGCTTCTTTGGTGCTTGATTTGCCATAAGGGCAGACTGCCGGCCAATTCCGGATTTAAGGAGAGAGGACTCTGTTTACTTTCATCTGGCGTCCTTGGCTGATCTGCCTGGAAGCACAAAGGGAGAGGGTGTAATTATGCTTTCTAAGATGGTAGGTCCAACTCCCCAATTAAGAAGCACAAACTGGAACAGCCCTGAACGCAGACCTCCCGTGGGCCACAGGGCCAGGAAGGCAGTGTGTGAGCCCATGGGGGTCCCTGAGGCCCTTTCTGAATAGTCTCATTGTGGGGTGGGGGGAAAGCTGAATAAGAAACATCCATGGGAAGAAGTCAAGAGGGGTCACACTGAGAAGCGCGCTGCCAGTGACGCTGCTGACCGGGACAGCCTTGGGAATCTGTCCGGGGACTTGCTCACATCTCTGCTTTTGGACAGGAAACAGGCTGCGGAGACGCCAGGCTCCTCGGGAAGGGGCCAGAGAAATAAAAGTGGGCCTCAGGGCCTCGGGGATGTGCAGATCCCCCTGCTCTTCCTCTCTGTGCTAACGGGATGAGACGCAAGCTCCCCGCTCTGGAGCAGTTTGCTGAGGGGCACACGGCCATGTTCTGGAGCAGAGCGGACACACTCGGGTCCACTTCCCAGGAGAGCCAAGTGTCGAGGCACGGCCGAGCCCACAGGCAGGAAGCACTGTGGTCTCCAGCGTCTGAGGGCCAGTAAAGGGAACCCCTGCCGTGTGGTGAGGGGTGAACACGCCCTGCTCTTCATGGTATAGCTGATCTGTGGTATTCTGACCGAGCACAAAAGTGCATGGGAGAACCCTCAAGGGCCCCCAAAAATGTGTGTGTGTACGTGTGTGAGCATGTGTGTGTGTGTGCACGCGTGTGTGTGCCTGCCCCCAGATCTTTCTGCTTCAGCCACAGGTCTGTCTACCTCGTGACCTGCAGGCAGGCCCCTCGCGTCCCTTGGCTCAGCCGCAAAGACCACAGCAAGCATGGCCATCTCGAGGGCCCGCTGCCCAGTCACAGAGACTGAGGAAGTCTACTCCCTCCAGGGTGACTTCTCTAAAACCTGGCCGAGGAGCCAAAGGCATGCCCCTTGGCCTCCCTTTCTCCCTGAAGGTCCTGCCCGGGATAACTGATCTTCTAACCCCGACCTCAGGAGGGTGCAGACGTGTTTTAGCCCAGGGGGAGTCCAAACACGACGTGGTGATGGCCAGCACTTGGCCAGCTTGGTGCAGACCCCATGCCTGCTGCTGTCCCCGGTTTAAAGAGAAAAGGAGTCCGAGGAGCGATGCCTTGGGCGGCGGGCCTGGGGCTGGAGACCCGAGTCCCTCTCGCTCGCTCGCTCCTGGGTCTGAGCATCTTCCCTCTCTGGGAGGAGGGGGGCTCCGTGGAAAGGCCTCCCACCGGGCACTGGGCCGGGCTCGCCATACCTCGGGGATGAGCTGGAAGAGGGCGTTGGAGTAGAGGGTTCCAATCGCCAGGGCTATGAAGTAGAGGAGCAGCCGCTTGTAAAAAGTCTTCTTCATGAAGGGCACCACGCTGGCCCCCATGAGGGAGCACAGGGAGATGACGGTCACGCAGAGGAGACCGTACCCCCACACTGCCGAGCGGAGAGGGCAGCCCACCCGGGACGGGGACCGGGGACAATGGCGACCACCATTTGTGGGGAGGGAAGTGGGGATGAAGGGGGAGGGGGGGAGGAGAGATTAACACAAGAAACAAGAGCAAAATCGGAGAAGAAAAAAAAAAGGAGGGAGGGAGAGAGGGAGAAATAGAAAATTTGTTAGTGATTCAAGTCCGGTGCAATTTCTCACAATCAAGTTCAGCAGAAATGAAGAGGGTTTCTGGGTCCTCTTGGAACTCTGGGTGGGCCCGAGCTGTCCAGGGCGACCGGTGGGCACGGACACTGAGCCCGGCTCTGGGGGCAGCTGGCAGGGAACAAGCCCTGCGTGTGTGCTGACCCCCGGCTCCCTGGGCCGTGTGCAGGGTGGGGTGAGTAAGTGCCCCCAGGCCCGTGGAAACAAGGCAGTTCCACTCTGCTTTAGGAGGCAGCGATGTTGGTTGGTTTCTATTTTTGTGTTTTTTTGTTGTTGTTGCTTTTTAGGAGGGAAAGTTCGATTAGGGACCAGAGTTCCAAGATCACCCAGTCACAAAATTCATTCCTCCACACAAAATTCATTCCTCCAACGCTTTCCTGGATCACACAGCCCGGGGTCGGGCCAATAGGAGCCCAGTTCAGACACACCACTGTGGCCAGGCACGGGGCGGAAGCTGTAATCACTGCATTTCCATTCCACTCTTCGGGTATATTGCTTTTCAAATTAATAATAATAATAATAATAATAAAAAATTCTACTTCTGAAGCTGAAAAAAAAAAAGTCCAAGATGAGGGAGAGCCACGAGAAGTACCCATGAGGCTCGCCAGGAATTCTGGAGCCCGGCATCATGGTGACGGCAAGCCTGATGCAGGCCTGGACAGTCCAGCTGGCAGCCTCCCCAGGCGGGCTGGCCACTGGCATGAGGCTTCAGTGAGCCTCCCCCACCTCCCCCCCGACACTTTACCCCACAGGGGGTCTGCTCAGGACCACCCTGTGTGCTTCCCTCTGCGCCAACTTGGACTTGATTTTTTTTTTCCAGCTCCACAGTCTTCACAATTAAAAAACCAAAATTAAACATTTCAAAACGGTTCTGGGAAGGGTGTGCCAGGAGGCTGTTCTCCTCAGGAAGAGGCCGAGATGCAAGGCGTGTGTGGAGCAAGGCTCCCCTCCCTTCAGCTCTGCCATTTTAACTGCTTTTGGTGAAGCCCGTCTCTGATTCAGAGACCTGTGTGATGCATTCTGGTCGCTTCAAACGCGGGTGTGGCCCCGCCTTAGGCCAAGTCTTCCTGGTTAGGTGGGTAACTAACCGGTGTGCTGCCTCGGCCTCTGAGGGGCATTTGGGAGCCCTACGGACAGGCCAGCAGCTGCCCAATAGACAAACATTGGGAGTCGCCCCCAAAGAACCTTGCATCTGGCACTACCCTGAGGGGTCCAGGGCCTACCTGGTGACCCAGAGAGAGAAAACGCTGGAAACTCAGAGATAGAGATCATTGGAGTCCCTGGACACAAGGAAGGGGGAGGCCACTTTTTTTTGGGTGGGGAGGGCGCTGCTGAGGCCGGGCGGGCCTGGGTTCTACTGCACCTCGGGGATGAGCTGGAAGAGCGCGTTAGAGAGCAGCGTTCCAATGGACAGGGCGATGAAGTAAGTGAGCACACGGCTGAAAAACGCTTTCTCCGTGCAGGGCAGGACGAGGACTCCCAGGAGAGAGGCCAGGTTAATCAGTGAGACACTGAGGAAACCAAAGCCCCACACTGCGGAGGAACAAGAACAGACGAGGCCTCCATTACTGAGGGCGGGAGCGGCCCTGACTCGCCGCCGCTTGGGCAGGCAGGGAGCTGTGGCCCCGTCAGGAATGTGGAGCCAGGCTACCTCTTGTTGGGGGCTTTGAGGAAGGAAAAAACAAAATAAAAAATAAACACACACACACACACACACAGACACACACAGACACATACTCTCTCTCTCTCATGCACACCAATCAAACACACCCCTCTCTCTCTCTCTCTCTCTCTCTCTCTCTCTCTCTCTCTGTCAGGCACTGATACACACACACACTCTCACACAGACATACACATACTCACTCACACACACAACTCTTATACACTCTCACACACTGGCACACCATTACACACATATACACACACACACACTCTCTCTCTCTCTCTCTCTCTCACACACACACACACACATACATACATTCTCTCTCTCTCTGTGTCAGGAACCGATACACACACACACACACTCACACAGAGACATACACACACAACTCTCTCATACTCACACTCTCACACACTGGCACAGGGTATACACGCACTCTCTCACATACATTCTCTCTCTCTCTCTCTCTCTCTCTCTCTCTCACACACACACACACACACACACACACACACACACACAGCTTAAGGGCTGCAGAGACACCACACAGGGTCCTTGAAGTCTGTCAGATGTGACCCCTGAGCACAGAGTCAGGGGTAAGTCCTGAGCACTGCTGGGTGTGCCCCCCAAACAAATTAAAATAGAATACAGAAAATCTGCTATCCAAAAGTAGTGTGACTCTTCGATGGAGAGGTAGAGGGAAATGACACACCTCGGGGCTGGACAGCCACTGGGAGGTGGGGCGGGGGGGGGGGGGGCGGGGGAAGGTGGCACAATGAGAGGCAGGACGCTGACCCCGGCACCCCGAGCTGGGAGATGCAGGAGGCCCAACCTGGTAAGGTCTTCCATGCAAAATGAAAATACAAAAGTGTCAGGGCCCTGGGGTAAAGAAAAAGGCACCTTGGCCCCCAGTGGCCGGCACTCACCTGCCCTACCTGGCGTGGCACTCAGCCTGCAGCGCTGCCCCCCAAGCCCCCACGCCCTGGCAGCCCACCTGCAGCAGACCGGCCCCGGCTCTGGCCCTGCCTCCCTCCCTCACCCTCCACGGCGCTGGGCTTCCCCTCCTCCGTCTGCTCGTTCTCCTTGTTCTCCCGGTTCTCCGAGGAGCAGGCCTGGGAATCCAGCTGCTGGAGGATGGTGGGGCAGAATTCCTGGAACTCACGCCTCCCGATGCGTGACTGGTCACTGAAGTTGTGGGCCGCGAAGAGCTCTCCAGCACTGAAGCACTGAGGTGGTGGGGGGAGGGAGGAGAGAGGGAGAAGACTTAAGAACCCGCGGGCCCAGCCCGGCTCCGGGGAGGGTGCTCCGCAGACTGATCGCCAGGGGTAAGAAAAACACTGGCGAGAGTCAGGCGCATCCTAGATAGATCAGCCGTCTGCGGCAGTCTCAGCCCGATGTGCCCCCATCCCTAAATGGCTGTCCAGAAACATCCTGGAAACAATTCGGTTCTAGCCGTTGGGACCAGGATGTGGATTCTTTGGAAACGGTCTGCTATCTGCATACCTGACGGGCTACGCCACGGAGACCCCCAGCTTGGCAGCATGTCACCAAGGCCAGGAAGCTGCTATGTTAAAACCCAGCCTTAGGGCCGGAGAGATAGCACAGCGGGGAGGGTGTTTGCTTTGCACACGGCTGACCCGGGTTCAATCCCTGGCATCCCATATGGTCCCCCAAGCACAGTCAGGCGTAATGGCTGAGTGCAGAGCCGGGAGTAACCCTGAGCACTGCTGGGTGTGACCCAAAAAAGAAAACCCACAGCTTTGGGCCCAAGTGATAGTACAACAGGTGGGGCACTCACCTTACAAGGCCAGGGGTGGTACCAACGATAACCCCACAGCCACTGCTCCCCAACCCCTACCCCCGACCCTGCCCCGTAGCTTCCAGAATTCTCCAGGGACGTGTGTGTGGCAAGTCTAGGGAAATATTTGTCTCTTCACCATATAGGGTTGGGGAAGAGGTTCCCAGCCTGAAGGGGTTGGCGATGGTGAGGGAGGGAAGGTTGGCCTAAAAGCCAGCATCTACCGTGGGAGTGAGCGTGGGCTGGCCGGTGGGCATGAGCCCGGAGCCATCGAGGACGCAGGTAGGAGGCCGGCACATACCATTCCTGTGAAACATCCCAAGCTTTACTTCTAATGATACGGACTTGCTTCGACATGGACCAGCCCTCCGGGTGTGTTGACGAGAGCGAGAGAGCTTCTGGGCCTGCGAGGCTGAGGGCTGGACTCTGGAGGCCTGGGGGGTCGGGCTGAGTTGTCATCCTCCTCACCCACTCAGGCCCTGGCTGCTTCTCTGAGTCCACACCACGTGGGCGAGGAGCTCACCGAACGCTCTCACCCGCCAGGATATGGCCTGGGAAGCTTCCTGCCCGGGGCCCAACCCCGATGCGTTCCCACGGGGGCCGCTAATGGCTCTTCGAGGCTGGATGGGCCCCCACTTCCCCGTAAGACTCCCTGCACAAGGGGTTCTCTGCTTCTCACAATGCCCCGAGCGGGAGCACAGAGCCCTACTGGCTGACACACAGCCTCCTGCTCTGGTCAGCTGGGAAGTCTGGGAGAAAACACAGGGAACCATGAGTTGAAAGACCCCAGTGGCTCAGTCCCAGGAACTTCATAAGCAGCTCCCAGAAAATGAAGATTTTTTTTTTTCCTGCCAGACTCAACCGGGATAGCAGGCAAAGGGTTTTGAAGACTGAAAACCGTCAGAAACATTCCAACGGGAGTAGACAGGACCATAATGGAGTCACTTCTGCTATTCCCCACTACAATTTATTTACTGCTCCACTGCGGTTTGGCCTAGATGATATCCTGAGAAACAGGTGGCCTGTGGGGAAGGCGCCTGCCCCCAGCACCCCCAGACGGTGACCCTGCTGAACCCATTCCAACTCATTGCCAGCTGGGATACTGACAGGCACAAAACCAAAGAGATCTTGGGGTTCACGCCACTGAATTTCCTTTCTTTCTTCTTTTTGGCGGGAAGGGTGGGGCCCTTTTGGGGCCTCACCCGGCAGGCCTCACTCCTGCCTCTGCACTTACTCTGGGTAGCCTCCAGGGACTATATGAGACACTGGGGATGGAGCCCAGGTCAGCTATGTGCAAAGCAAGCACCCTACCCGGCCTCATTTAAAAAAAAAGATTTTTTTTTTTGTTTTGGGTCACACCTGGTGATGCACAGGGGCTGCTCCTGTCTCCGCACTCAGGAATTACCCCTGGTGGTGCTCAGGGGACCATATGCTGGGAATCGAACCTGGGTTGGCTGCATGCAAGGCAAATGCCCTACCTGCTGTACTATTGCTCCAGCCCCTAAAAAAAATTTTTTTTAAGGTCACACCCAGCTTTGCTCAGGGGACTGTATGGGATGCTCGCAAACGCCCTCCCTGCTGTGCTATCGCTCAAGCCCCAGAAGTTGTTTTCTAACAATGTTACCGTCCCCCAAGGTTTCATCTTTCCAGCAGTCCCAGGGTACCCCTGATCAGTAGGAGAGTCTAGGGTAGAGGTAATTCCCCACTCCCCAAGTTTCACAGCCAACCTGGGGAAAGGGATGGCACACCTAAAGCGGCGTGCCTGGAGAAGCCCACCTGGCCGGTCTACACCACTGGCCAGTCCTGGGCTGCTGAGGGCCCGCCCCCCCCCCCGCCCCAATCCGTGACCCAGACCCAGGTCTGGTCCCGGGGGTGCCGGGCCTCACCGTGGAGAGGTTCCGAGGTCCCTGCACGGGCTGGCTCATGTTGGCCTGGCTCACGACCACGTTCAGGTGGTCGAGCAGCTTCCTCAGTTCCTGCAGCGTGAGGCTGTCGCCCTCCCCATAGTGATGCATGAGGTCATGCAGGAACGAGGCCGCGCTGAGGGTGGTTGTCCCCCTGGACACGGCGGAAGCCCCCGAGGCAGACGTCCAGATGCTGAGCAGGGCCAGAAGAAGGCAGGCCCCAGAGTCTGGGCGTAGCTTCATGGTGAGAAGTCGGCCTGGACACGAGGGGGAGAAAAAGCAGGTGAGCGAGGGCACGGCGTAAGAAGGCCTGCCGGGCTTGGGGTGGGGGGGGGCGCGAGTAGGACTGCAGAACAGACCCATGGCGGGGAAGGCCTCAGGACTCAGACCCACAGTGGGCAGTGCAGCCCCATGTCACCACAAGCATTGTAGAGGTGGGGGTGTTCACTCTCTCTCTCTCTCTCTCTCTCTCTCTCTCACACACACACACACACACACACACACACACACACACACACAGTGGCAGTAAGCCCTATATCATCACAAGCATTGTGGGGTTGGGGATGTTTACACACACACACACACACACACACACACACCGTGGCCCGGTGAGAACCCCTGGCAGCACTTGAAGCACTGGACGTCGTCAGTCAGTTCCTGGGCCCCTGGACGTCGCTCTAGGTTACCTGTACTAAGCACGGATATAAATAACACCCCGGCCCCAGGTACGTGCGTGAGGCACTCTTTGGAGGCCCCGGCTCCTTCTGCACTGTCGTCTCCACAAAACTGCTCCTCACCTCCACGCTCTTTCTCAAATCTGTCCCCACCAACTTCCAAACAGCCCGGATGAACACAAGCCCGCTTCCAGCGGGAGAGGCCCAGGTGACAGTTTCGCCCGGAGCTCCCTCAAGTGCCAGGAGACAGGGACCCTCCAGGCGATACCTCACCCACCTCACCCCACCCCAGGACCCTGACCACTGCGCAACGAGTTACTTCAGGCTGAGGGGAGCCTGTCACGGGCCGGTGCCACAAGGCAGGGGCTCCATAGCTGCACAGGGACTCTGGCAGCTGCTCAGCCACTGCAGACTCGAGAGCACCTGGCCTCTGGCCGACACCCAGGGCACTTTCTGCTCTAGTGGAGATTCGCCCAGGAGAGGGAAACAGCGAAGAAGAAAGTCTCTGGAAGAAAGGAGAGAGCAGAGCACACGGGGCACAGTGCGGGTGCAGTGGCAGGACACGGGTCCCAGATGCAGGAAGGACAAGTAAGCAGTGGAGAAGAGCAGGCGCAGCCGGGCAGGAGAACAAGCCGACCAGCCTGGAGCCCGGCACCCCTTTGTTCCTTGGGCACAGCCTCAAAGAGCCTGAGAGCCTCGGGTCTGTCTCCAGGGTGCCAGGCCCAACCTGGGTGTACCTGAGAGAGAGAGAGAGTGTGTGTGTGTGTGTGTATGTGTGTGTGTGAAGCCCAACCTGGGTGTACCTGAGTCTGTGTGTGTGTGTGTGTGTGTGTGTACAGGGAGAAAGTCAGCCACAGGCCTGCACTAACCTCAGTGGGACTTCAGGTCTCTACATTTGGGGGGGGGGGGGGCGGAGAGAAAATGAGGGAGGGAAAGAGAGGGCAAGAGATAGGGGGGGGGTCCTTGGACAGGAACCAGCATTCCTGCTCTTAGGGGTGACCGCCTTGCCTGGAACTTGGTGGCAGAGGCTAGCCACTGAGGTGAGAATGTTGGTAGTGAAATGGGAAGGGCGTCAAGAAGTTCCCGCCAGAGTGTCATCTTGTCATGCAGGTGATGAGATGACGGGAACAGGAGATAGATGGAGGCAGAAGGAAGCCCCTGGCAGGGAACTGAGCCCTCAACTCTTCCCAGACGGATGAGAGGACAGCAGGGGTCTCACCCATGTGCACAGGGCCAAGGAAAGTGGAGGGGACCGTGCTGGGGGACGGCCCAAGTGAGGCCCAGTGACAAGATACAGAGCAACACGCCCCATCAAGGGGACAGAGGCGGGCTGGGTTCCAGCTGCAGATTTCAGGTCTGGGACAAGTACAATGGATAGACAATGGCGTAGAGAGAGTGGAGGTAGGGTGGTGGCCCAGGGACGGGCTCAGGACATCCGGGCATTGGGGACAGGACATCAGGCCCTATGTGGGTCGTAAAGAGGTTGTAAGTGGGTGAAAGGAGAGGCCTGGACACGGAGAAGGGCTCAGACTCATCCACACAACTGGACGATGAACTTTAACTTCTATAGTTCTGTTGATTTTTTCTTTGGGGGCCACATCTATGATGCTCAGGGATTAGTCCTGGCTCTGCACTCGGGGATCACAGGGGGCAGTACTCAGAGGACCCTATGGGGTGCTGGGATTGAACCCACGTTGGCCACATGTAAAGCAAATGCCCTGCCTGGTACACTATCTCTCAGGCCCCCAACTTTAACTTTTTAAAGTTTTAGGACTGGAATGATAGCACAGCAGGCAAAGCACTTGCCATGCTTGTCCTCAGACAACCCTAATTCAACCCCCGGCACTGCCAGTAGTGATCCGAGCACAGAGCCAGGAGTAAACCCTAACCATAGCGGGGGATGGCCCCAAAATATAACAAATACTACCCCCAAATGCACCCGAGTTTCATATGCAAACTCTCTATACAATACTGAAGAGTTCAGGGATAAACACACACACACACACACACACACACACACACACACACACACTTCTGTGGGAATAAGAATAGAACCCCCTCACCCTGGGTGAGACCCCTCCCCACCCCAAGGGACCCAGCCCCGGCAGCGGAAAACCTCCAAAACTCAACCGCCGCGTCCTCACAGCTGCTCTTCACACACTCGGGCCGAGCCTCACCCACGAGTGAACCTATTCCGAGATACCTCAAAGGACACACCCTACCCAGACATACTCCAAGAGTACTGCACCACATTGGATGTAGGAGGCAACCAACCTTAGAGGGTAATATTAAATTATTTCAGTTCTGCTTTGGGGCAAGGATTGGGGTTCGGGATGGAAACACCTGAAATATGATGGTGGGATTAGTGTCTGACTATTAAATGTAATCAAATGTTGTAAACTACTTTATAAAAATTTTTTAAAAATTAAAAAAGAAAAAAAGAACAAGACTCAAGACACCCCTCTCCCTCCCCTCCCCGGCAATGGGCCTAGGAGCCACCAGGCACCCAACACACACATGGAAACCTCTGTGCTGAGGATGAGTGTGGGCCAGTCCAGTCACGTGTGGAGAAAGCCCAGCCGCTCCTGAGGCCGAAGGGTGAACCCCAGGAAGTGGTGCTGGGCTCCCCACTGCGGCCTCCTGTGTGACTCCTCCACTGATCCACAGGCCAGCTGTGCACACCCGCTTGGCAGCAGGAAGCGGGGGCTGGACACTGGCTGGGGATGGAGAGATGGAGTGGGGGGTGGCAGTGCTCCAGCCATCACAGGCCTCTGTGACCATCTCTAGCTCATTAACTGTGTCTCAGCTGAAATACAAAAAAAAAAAAAAAAAAGGGCGGGGGGAAGTGAAGAGTCGAATTCTCTTCCAGGCCTCTGGGGACTGAGAACAGTCGGGCGTCAAGATGCCGAGATCTGCATCCACAGTGCAACATAGGGCAGCCCCCGACCCTCCCAGGTGTCACTCCATGTGCCAGCCCTGCCCACCCTCTCACGGATGACTCATCCCCCTGGCAGGGCTGGCACAGTGGTACAGGCTCTGTGGGCACTGTTGCGGGGTAAGCTGGTGCGGGTGACCCTGAAGGACCTCAAACTAGCCCAGGGCGCGAGAGCCGGTGGCCTCAGGAATGAAGCCTCAGGAGCTGGTGCCTGTCTGAGCACGGAAGGTGCCAGGGAGGGGCCAACCAGGGAGGAGTCACCAGGTCTGTTTCCTGAGCTTAAAAAAAAAAGGAGGACAATAAACCAGCATAAAGGGAAACACTTGATGCAGAGGAAAACACTACATTAAAAAAAAAAAATCAAGATGTTGAGCTAAAAGGGGAAACTGAAATGGCATTGCACTTTTCCTCCGGGGGAGTCATGAACATCTGAGGAAAAAACAGTGGGGTGGGCCAGGTGGGGGAGAAGGTCCAGACGCCAGCCAGGCAAGGAGGCCGCGCTGACTTCAAACGCAGGGGAGGAAAGGGCTGCGGCGGCCCGGTTGCAGTGACCTCCCGGAACCCTGAGGCTGCCTGCCCGCCCGGACCTGATTCACTGGCCAGCTGCTGGGAAACAAACAGGTGGGAAGCGAAGAGCATCACCAGGTCAAGGTCCTCGCTGAACTGCTGAGCCCGCCTGGCCCCTGCAGGAACAGGAAACGCAGCCTCCAAGCAAGCAAGGACAAGGACAGCGTCCCGAGCCCCAGGTGAGGGGGGAACCTGTCACCTGACCGCCGTCTCCATATTCCCCCGCCATCAGGCTGCAGAAAAGCGGACCACGTCCCATGCGTCACTGCAGCTGAGTGAAGGAAGACAAGTCAGCATGGACGTTGGGCAGGAAAGGGAAGGACTGTCTAATGTTGGGGGGACGGTCGGCGAGGCCACAAACAAGCGGAAAGTCACCGTGGACAAACGCAAATGCATGTTGAGTCAGAAAGTATGGCAGACCCCAGGGAAAGCAAGGCCGCAGAGTGGGACTGGGAGACAGCCCAAGGACAGACGCAGCACTGCGTGGTCCCCCAAGCACAGAGCCAGGAGCAGCACCAGCATGTGTGGCCCAAAACATTTTTAAAAGGGGGTTGAAGTGATGGCACAGTGGGTAGGGGACCTGCCTTGTGCACAGCGAAGCTAGTTTAGATTCTCAGTACCCCATATGATCCCTGGACCCCACCAGGAGTAACCCCTGAGCACAGCCGGGGGCGGCCCTCTCCCCCTCAGCCCCCAATTGAAACACACTTTAAAAAAGCGTCAGCACAATCCACCCCAGCGCCATCTTACAGCATGCAGAAGTGAAGAAAACCGGCTGGTGGGCACCACCACCCCCGGAGAATTCTCTGGGCCTCCTACTGATCCAATATCACTGGGAGGTCCCAGATGGGGTAGGTGCTGTCTCCCTGCCTTCTCCAGATGGAATCCCGGCGACCATGAGCTTCTACAAGCATGGCTCCGGTATGCGGGTACCAGGACTGTTTTCCGAACTGCGCGGCCGTGTAAGACATTTCCTGATATGCAAAGTGATCAATGGAAAGTAAATGATCTAGCGTTTGTCCCTGAAAAACAAGCCTGAATGGTGATGGGAAAATCTGAGCCAAATATAATGCCCAACCAA